ACCGGGACCGGCCCACCCGGAGCCCTGGAGTACCATCAGGGTGGCCTCTCCTTCCGCAGACCGGTGTCCAGAGGGGCCAAACACCGCGGATATCTGATCCTGGTCTCTCCTAAAAAGAAACAATGGCTCTAAGATAATAAGCTCCAGAGCAGCTGGCTATCCTGCTGGGGCCTCCAAGAATGTTAGACCCAGAGAGAAAGAACCAACCAGAGACCGATAATAAATCCACACAGGAGTTTATCACTGGCCAGGACCCGAGCTGAGCATCGGACTTGAGCCCCGACTGGGGGGCAGACAAACATGTTTTATACACCTTTGAGGCCAACAGTTTCTAGGCCCAACTATGGGATAGAACTAGCAAAGCAAGCAAAAGGTACAGAAGCACAATGTCCTGCTGTTAGAACATTTGTAAAACAATAGTTGATTAATTGTTGTTTCTAAAAGGCATTCTAAGGGGAGGAGGTTTCTAAGCTTCCTCCTTTTGAGTTCATCTAAAGGGCAGGCAGGTGGGTCGTTCAGCAGCAATATGGAGTCTGTTTTGCTAACTAGGGTCCTTCAAGAACAACGGACGATTTGCAGGCTGCAGCACCACTGAAGTCACCAAGCCTCTTGTAAGCTACTGGTTTTATAGGGCTCTAGTTAAAACAGCAAATGCAAGCTCAAAAGCAAGTAGGGTCCTTGGAAAGTTGTGCATACTCCACTCCTATCCAATCCTTATCAGGAAACTCCACCCATCTCAGTATGCAAAGTGCAGCCACACTGATGGGCAACCTCCTTCTGCTGCAGTCTAGATACAGCCCCAGCACAGAGGTGGGGGGCATCTGAACAGCTTGGGCAAGGACATGCATCACAAGATGGTTACTTTGGTTAGGGATCCCTAGAATAGTTTTCATTACAACCTCTCTTCCACCACTGTGTAACTAGCAAACATTTGTCATTCAGTGGTCTCCAACTCTAGTAGGACACAGAGGAAATAGAAGTGAGGCTATTTAAGTCTTGGTTTGAGTGTGTGCGAGGGTGAGTGTAAGCCTAGAATCAGGGTTGCTGGGTGGGAGTGGTGACTGTGGTGTGTGTGTGTCCTTCGAAATATGTGGTCAGAAGCGAAGGAGGCAGCAGGCAGTCAGTCAGGAGGGACATTGACATGGAAGGTAGGAGGGCTTAGCCACAAAACTGTCTTACAGTTTTCAAATTCTACCCAGCAGGAGGGACAGTCAGATCTGGGACCTTTAGGGAAGGAAAGAGAGAGATCTGTGTCCACTCTTAAGGTGGGGCTGTCAGAGTGCAAGAGAGAGGCCTGGGTTGTGGGAGCTGCCTTAGCGTACCTTCAGGGCAGATGTTGGCACCAGCACACTGTTCCCTTTATAGCCTCCGCATCTGATTTACTCTCTTAGCAGCCCAACTGGCCTCTTTCCTTAGGAGTTTTCCAAAAGAGAGAGTGCTCAGCCCCTGCACACATTCTGCCCCCTGCCTGAAAAGCAAAAGGGCTAGAGGGCTAAGTTGCCTGAAAACACAGCCTGTGTGGGCTGCTTTCCAATTGAGGGAAACCTACCCCAGAAGCAGTCAGCTGGCATTGTGCTGAGAGGGTTGGCTACTATAAATTGTCTATATCTCTGATCACCAAATGGTTTTCTAATTAGCATAACGAATGCTGGAGGTGATTTTCTTTGGAAAATCTAAGGTCTTGACAATCAGCATAACTGAAAGCTACAAATGACCTCTCTCTGGTGAAATTAGTGCCAGCCATGAGATATGGATTGGGTAAAGTAATTTTTTTTTTTTTTTGGTACTGGGGATTGAACTCTGGACCTTGTGCTTGTGAGGCAGGCAGTGGAAGCACTGAGCTAAATCCCCGGTCCTATGGATAAAATAATTTTTGAGATCCTCTTCACCCCTGAAGGGACAGAATATGAGAGGCCTAAAGCCTGTGTCTTTAGACACGTAGCTGAGTATGCCTGGTGTGCCAACCTCTGGGTTGGATTTGTGGTTGGCAGATGTTGACTTCTGAGCAATGGAATCCTGCCTCAAGGGAATGAGGAGTGGGTGTAGCACCCAGAAGGACAGAATGTTGTATCTTCATTCAGCTTCCAGAGCAGGATGGACAAATGATCCTGTGCTCCTTGGTGACTGTCCTTGCATGTGATGGAAACCACTCTGAGCTACACATTCACTCTTCTGTAGGGTGAGGTGGGAGACTCGCTAAAGTGAACTCACTCAAACTTATCAGTGGGTATCATTAATTGCCAAACAGAAACCCGAGAGCTGTGCGGCCTGCAGTATCCCAGCTTGATTTGCCACAGCAGATGATGGCCTCGCAGGTACTGGCCTTCTTCACACCAGCAGCTCTTGGCACAGACAGGGGGTTGTGGCCAGGAGTCAAGGGGACAGAACACGCTTGCTTCTCTCACCACCCCTGACACCTTCTACCAAAATGAACATCTGAGACATGAAAAACTAAAAGGTTTGGATTCAAAGCTTCTCTTTTACAGAGTAGTGTTCTACTGGGGGGTCAGATCTTATGAGTGATGTGAGCTCCCACCTGTAATCCCAGTCAGTGGATTGCCCCTGGGACAGGATCCATACTGTCCACGGCTCTTTCAGGAATACAAATTGGAGCTGGCTCTACCTGCTACCCCAGCCCTGGCTGTCCATGTACCCAGCCAGACTGTCAGTCATGGAGGTGGACACAGGTGGTACCTGCGAGGGACCGCATGACACAAAGGCAGCCAATGAGTAGGGTAGCGTGCACTAGGTGGGTAGGCTCTCTCTTGGGAGCTTCCACTGACCCCAGAGCCACAGGTCATTGAGAAAGGTGATGCTGAGCTGATGGAGGAAGAAAAGAGCAGGTGGGAATGTGGGATCAGAGACTTGGGGGCCATGGAAGGCAACAGGGGTAAGGAGGCAGGACTGCTAAGGAGGTGAAAGAGACAAGGAAAAGCAAAGACATGGAAGGCAGGTGGAAATAATGACAGGAATCATAACTGGATGCAAGAAGAGCTGGAGTGACCAGAAGAAAGGGGCACCAATGGCTGAGGCACATTCATAACTGAGAATCATACACACATTTCCAGCTGGGAATCCCAGCCCTGGTAGGCCCATAGTTCTCCTTCTTGCACATCAGTGTGGTCTGTTTCTCCTCTGCCCTTCATGTATTCTCAAATCACAAAAAGAACATAGGCCTCCAAGAGAAGGCAGAAATGGGACTAGGGCCAAGGAGCCATGTTAGTCAGCCACACAACACAGCCATAGCCTGTGTGGCTGAAAGAGCACACTTTTGTGTCTCCTTGTCCAGGAGGCTGGTGTGTCAGTCCATTTTCTGTTTATAAGAATGACACTGCATAGGGTAAGTCATAAAGAAAAGAAGTTTGATTTGGCTCATGGTTGTGGTCCAAGATCAACAGTCTGCAGGTGGTGATGGCCTTGCTGATGGAGTCCTGAGGCATCCCAGGGTATCCCATGTCAAGAGACAAAGCCAATGGCTTTGTGGGGGGGTTTGTTTGTTTTGGTTTTTTGAGACAAGATTTCACTTTGTAGCCCAGGCTGGTCTTGAACTCAATATCCTCTTGCTTCTGCTTCCTGAGTTCTGGGATTATAGGCATGCACCACCACGCCCACTTCACAGTGGCTTTTATAGGAGACACATTCTCAATATAATCCATTGTCTTAATCACTTCCTTGTCACTGAGACACAATACCTGACAACCACAATTTAAAGGAGGAGAGGTTTGTTTTGGTTCACATATTCAGTCCATAGCCAGCTGGCTCCAAGGCAAGGAAGTCCATGGTAGAAGGGTCTGGCAGAGGAAAGTTGCTCAGTTATGGCAGCCTGGAAGCAGAGAGAGAAGGGAGGAGACAGGGAGGGGGAACTGCCCTCCGGGTCCCATCCCTAGTGACCCATCTCCCCTAACAAGGCCGCACCTCCAAACAGCAAGACAGCTATAGCATTCCCACGGTCCAGTCCTCATCCAAAAGCTCTGCCTATGAGACTCTTGGAGGATATCTAGATATAAATCCTAACACCCATTAATCCAATTAGCTATTAATCAATGCATCATGAGAATGGATAAATCTCAGTCTTAACAGGGATTACATTTCAACATGAGTTTCAGAAGTGGCCAGCTATACTTAAACCATAGCAACTGGGAATGCAAAATCAAGGTGATGGCAGATTTCGCATCTGGAGAGATGGTCTCCCTGGCATGCAGATGGCCTCCTCACTACATTTGCACATTGTGGAGGGAGGGAAAGAGAGAGCTCTGGTCTCTTCATCTTATAAAAAAGCTCAATCATACCACAGGGACCCTACACACGCCACCTCGTCTAAACCCAATGACATCCCAGTAGCCCCATCTCCAGATACCATCCCACTGGGGACGAAAGCTTCAACATATGAATTTGGTATGAGAGGGGAACACAGGACTCCACAACAGTATACAACTCTGTCTTTGACGGAATTCATGCTCGGGGGGGAAGATGGAGGGAGGGGAAGGGAAGGCAAAGAAAAAGGCCCAAGATGCAACATGTATATACCAATTCCCCACAATGAATGTGTTATTATGCATCTTAACCATATACTAATAAACAGGGGAAAAAAGAAAAAAGCTTCAGTTGGACAGAAGGAATAAGTGAAAGGGACCCATTGTGCCATATGGCAGCTGCAGGTAGTAATGATGTGGTATCTAATTGAAAATTACTAAGAATATATACATATGTGTATACACACACACACACACATATATATATATATATACACTTTTTTTGGTACGAGGGATCGAACTCAGGACCTTACGCTTGCCAGGCAGACGGTGGAACCACTGAGCTAAATCCCTGGGCCTACTAAGAGTATATTTTAAGTGTTTTTACCACAAAAAAATTATATAAACTAATGTATATGTTAAATGGCTTGATTTAGCCATCTCAAAGTGTAAACAATTTAGCCACCCACAATGTAGACATATATCAAAACATTGTGATGTACATCATGACAAAATCACTTTCATTTATCAATAAAAAATAAATCAGCTAAAATTTTTATTAGAGGATTTAAAAAGCAAACAATAAAATTCATGAAATATGAAAAGGTCAAATGAGCAATAATTTCAATGTAATTATTCTGACATTGAGATAAAAATTGCAGCAAAACTTTTGAAAGTATACAATGGCAGAATTCATTAAGAAAACAAGAGAACTTTCAAACAAAGGTCTATGAAGTATTTGATAATCCAATAAATGCAATACAGTGAATCATAAAAACATTTTGGGGAAACTTTAATTTTGTGCCGATCTGACATTAAATACGACACAAAGTTGGCATCCAACACATCAAAGTCCACTGTAACAAGACTGTCAGTCACAGATAGGTTGATAAGTAGATCAATTAATAGAGAATATAAGATCAGACACTACACAAAAAGGAAACGTTGATACTCTGACCTTTTACGGTATTCATAGAAAGCATTTGATTGAGATTTTCCCAGATCTGACCAAAAAAATCTAAAATTTTACACATTACTATTAGCTAAAAGAAACTTCCAAAGCCAATAAGGAAGCGGATTTGAACAGACAAAACCAAAACCAAAAAAAGAATTCATATTCAATTAATTAGTCCCACAAATAAAATTTTTCTGTGCTTTTACTTAGCTCCACTAAAATAAGGGTCTGTGACCACAAAAGAGACTGGAATCAGTAAAGCAAACCCTGCTACTACTGGCTAAGCAAGATTCCCCCATATGAGCTGATGCCATCAAGATAATGCCTTGGGTTTATTGTCTTTCCCGCTTGCTTCGGGACAGCAGGATCCCAATTAATCCTAGACCGGCCAGGACACTTGCTCCCACAGTTACCTTTGTGGCCACTTCAGCAACCTGCAGCAGAAGAAAAGGAAAAGAATCACAGTCAACATCAGGAGTCAGACCCTGGGTGTGTGTACAGGTGAGTGAGGAGCCTGCCACTTGGGAAAGACTGGGGTGGCTCTGGCCTCTTCATCTACATGACAGAGGGAAGAAACATTGGCCGGGAGGCATGGTCCCAAGAGGTCGGGCACTCAGAAAGAGGAGAGATGTCTGGTGGGGAAAGAATGAATGGAAGAACAAGCTGTAGGTACTGAAATATGAGAGATTCAAAGTTGAAAAACTAGATACACTATGACTATTTAAAATGCAATAAATGGCATTGAGTGTCATGTCGCGGAAGCAGTGCTTTGGTTCCCTGCTCCTACAACATAGTCTTCAATTTTGGGACTCCCTTGTGTACCTTGGCTGTACCTTACCTACAGCCATCGCAGCACCCCCAGGTGGGTTTGGAGGATTTGAGACAACATCTACAGCCGCAGGATCTGCATTCAACTTTTCTGCCCCAGCTAACACAGGCACTACTGGACTCTTTGGCGCTACTCAGAACAAAGGTTTTGGATTTGGTACCAGTTTTGGCACAACAAGGCAACTAGTACTGATTTAGATACTGGTTTGGGAACTGGACTGGGGTTTGGAGGATTTAATACACAGCAGCAACAATCTACATCAGGTGGTCTCTTCAGTCAGCCTACTCAAAGCTCCTTTCCAGTCCAACCAGCTGATAAATGCTGCAAGTTCGCTTTCTGCTCCAAGACTATTGGGAGGTGAGAGAGATGCTATTTTAGCAAAATGGAATCTGCTGCAGGCTTTCTGGGGAACAGGAAAAAATATTTCAACAGTAATATTCCACCAGTGGAATTCACACAAGAATATCCTTTTTGCCGGTTTAAGGCTGTAGGTTATAGCTGTATGTCCAATAATAAAGATGAAGATGGGCTAGTGGTTTTAGTTTTCAACAAAAAAGAAACAGATATTCGAAGCCAGCAGCAGCAGTTGCATAAAGTTTTGGCAGGAAAGCAGACCTTTGCTGTAAATGTAGAGGATAAAAAAACATTGCCAGGGGCCAGGGATTTAGCTCAGTGCTTCCGGCGCCTGCCTTGAAAGCATAGGTCCTGAGTTCAATACCCGATACCAAAAAAAAAAAAAAAAAGAAAAGAAAAAAAAGGCAGATGACCAGACAGAAGTTGTCACATATTGTTGAGCGTTCTCCAAATGGTACCTCAAGAAGAGTTCCAGCTACAACAGTATATACTCACTTTGAACGAGCTAATATAAAAACACAACTGGAGAAACTTGGTGTAGTCCTTTCTATGACCAGAACAGAACTTATCCTGCACAGATCAAGCAGCTTTTACAGAATCCTCCTTCTGGTATTGATTGTATTATTTGGGAACAGGCTAAGGTGGATAACCCGGATTCTGAAAAGTTAATTCCTGCACCCATGGTGGGTTTTAAAGAACTTCTCCGAAGACTGAAAGTTCAAGATCAGATGACTAAGCAGCATCAGATCATATTAGATATTAAATCTGAAGATATCAGAGAGCTACAAAAGAATCAAACTACAAGTATAGCCAACATTGAAAAGAGGAAACTCATGGCTCTTTCCCATAAAACCTCACAGGTCCTAATCAAATGGGAAATTCAAAGGAAGAGTGGTTATGCCATCCAAGCTGATGGAGAGCCGTTGCAGGTTCAGCTAGATACAAATCAGTCTGAACTAAATGCACCTTCTCAGTTCAAGGGCCAACTAAACAAACTGATGTCCCAAATCAGGATGCAGAACCATTTTGGAGCAGTCAGATCTGAAGAAATATATTACAAAGATGCAGATCTGTTAGGAGAAATCAAGCGGCATTTGAAAGAACAACAGGAAGGTCTTAGCCACTTGATTCGCACTAGAAAACATGATCTAGAAAATATAAAGTTGGTAGAACAGGGCTGGGGATTTAGCTCAGTGGTTTCACCACCTGCTGTGCAAGCACAAGGACCCGAGTTCGATCCCCGATACCAAATCAAACCAAACAAAACAAAGTTGGTAGAACATAGATGGAGTGAAACGATCCGCATCAGAGGTGGTATCTTTAGTCGACAGTTCACAAACTTGTGCTAGAAATTTGTGAAATGCATTCTCTTACTGCATGAGGCCTTCCTTAAGAATGAAACTGATCACACAAAGAAAAAAGAAAGAAAATGATCCTCTCTTGCTTTGGATTTTTTAGGAGATTACTGAGAAATTACTCTTCACTAAATCTGAAATAAACTAGTCACCTCACCTCTCTTCAAAAATAACCTTCAGGGCTGGGGATTTAGCTCAGGGGTTCCAGCGCTTCCCTCGCAAGCACAAGGACCCGAGTTTGATCCCCAGTGCCAAAAAAAAAAAAAAGATTTACATCTAAATAGCTGTAGATACTTTAAAAAGAAGGAAGTGCATAATTAACATTTTACAACAGCTTTTTCTGAAACATCACAGTAATTACTGTTCTCCATTCTGCTTTCCAAAACAAGTAAATATGAAATATACTTTGCATATAACAAACTGTATAATTACTTAGCTGTTGAAGATTTCAGATTCAGAGTGTAAATGGATATCAGTTTTTATATATGTAAATCCAACTTGGGAGGAGTAAAGTTGTCATCCTTCACACATCTCAGTAGATACTAGGGGAATCTAGGAGAAAGTTCCTGTGCATGACAAAAATGTTGGAATATCTTCAGCCTGAATCAGATCTCATTCAACATGATGGAATTCATACTGGTAAGCAACTTTATGAATGTAAAGGGTGTAGAAGAACTTTTAGCCCGAAGCAAAACTTTGTAGAGCATAAGAAAATGCATACTGGAGAGAAATCACATGAATGTACTGAAATGAATGTGGTGAAGTGTTCTCTCAGGTCTCATCGTTTACTCAACGTTTGAGAAGTCATACAGGGAGAAGTCATATGAATGTAATAAATGTGGAAAAGCCTTCAGCCAGAAAGGAAACTTCCTTTCTCATCAGAAATATCATAGTGGAGAAAAACCTTCTGAATGTGGGAAAGCACCTATTCAATTGGCAATCCTCATCAGGCATCACAGAAATCATACAGGAAATAAACCATATGCATGTAAGGAATGTGGGAAAGCTTTTAATAGCACATCATACCTCAGTGAGCATGAGAAAATTCACAATGGAGAGAAACCTTTTGAATGTAACCACTGTGGAAGAGCCTCCAGCCAGAAGCAACATCTCATTAAACATCAGAATATCCATAATGGAAAGAAACCTTTCAAATGTAATGAGTGTGAAAAAGCCTTTAGCCAGAAAGAAAACGTCATTAGCCATCAGAGAATCCATATAGGAGAGAAACTTTATGAATGTAAAGGGTGTGGCAAAGCTTTCATTCAGAAGTCAGGCCTCATTAGACATGAAAGAAGTCACACTGGAGAGAAACGCTATACATGTAAGGAGTGTGGGAAAGCCTTCAGTGGCAAATCAAATCTCAATGAGCATGAGTAAATTCATCTTGGAGGGAAAGCCTATAAATGTAATGAATGTGGAATAATCTCCAGGCAGAAGCAATACCACATTAAACATCACAATAATCATACAGGAGAGAAACCCTGTGAATGTAATAAATGTGGAAAAGCCTTTTCACAGATCACATCGCTCATTGTACATGTGAGAATTCATACAGGTGATAAACCTTATGAATGTAAAATATGTGGGAAAGCCTTCTGTCAAAGCTCATCTCTTACTGTGCACATGAGAAGCCATACAGGTGAGAAACCCTATGGTTGTAATGAATGTGGGAAAGCCTTTTCTCAGTTCTCAACTCATGGTCTACATATGAGAATCCATACTGGTGAAAAACTTTATCAAAGTAGTGAATATGGGAAAGCTTTCAGCCAGAAGTCATATTACATTAGACACCAGAGAATTCATACTCATTATGGTTCTAGGAATGCCTTGGATTTAGGATACTCTTCAGCAAAATTTACACCTAATAATATGTCAAGTTTTGTTTTACATTAAAGAGACATAAATGTAGGGAAAAAAATCTAACCTGCCACCTGTTTTTGCAAAAACAAATAAGAAGAACTAAAATTTTACTAGAACACAGCCATGCTCATTTGTTTACATTCTGTCTGTGGCAGGGTACTGAGAGAAACTACACAGATCTCAAAATCTGAGATATTTACTATCTGATCCTTTGCAGAAAAAGATTAGGCCCAACATGACCAGAGTCTCCCTCCTCCTGCTTCACACTGGCCCCCTAGCACCCCATTCACGGGTAAACTCCAAGTCACTTTACACTTCCAGGTTAATCAAGAGAATTAAATCAGACTCAGCTCAGGGGCTACCTCTTCTGTGCAGCCTTCCTTGTCAGAGCCCTTGGAGCAGAATACTTCAGGTTCAAATCCTACCTCTGCACCACAGCAGAAATGGACGTGGGTAGTGGTGGTGAGCCTATGGCATTCATGTGACTGTGTTTTTCTTTGAAGACAAAAGTTGGAAATGTAGAGATGTTTCTTCTAGACTAAAACCTCAATGTTTGGGTTTAATTGCAGTGTTGGCATTTTGCCATAAATAAGTGGGTTCCGGTTTTACTTTGGCTCTTGGTCACTAAAAGGTTCGCCATCACTGGACTAGAGGCTCAATACCTGATTGAATGAGTTGGGACAGATGACCCTAACACACTGAGCCTCAGTGTCCCCATCTATAACATGGAGATAATAAAACTTGATTCTAGAGCTCTGGAGAGTAACCTTAGGGCCAGGGAGCAGGGAGGGCTCAGCAACTGGAGTGACTGTCATGTCCATGTGTCACTTCCCTGGCCATCACCCCCTAACAGCTCTGATCTGCATTGCCACCTTGCCCAGGTGACTCTCCACACTTGCCCCCACCCCAAATGTGGCATCCTTAAGGGCAGGGATTCTGTATCTGCTGTTTTGTCTTGTTCGTGTCTCTATCACCATTCTGGTTCAAACACAGCAGGTGCTGAGCCACCAATAGCTAAAGAGATGGCCTGGTTCTGAAGAAGGGGATACAGGCTGAGCACGCACCTGATCACTGCATGGAACTCCGTAGCGCAGCTCAGTCACAAAATGCTCACAGTTCATGCTGGTCAGTGAATAGTGTAGCTCCTTCCCCACCAGCTCCATGGCCTGCTTGACAATTTTGTTGATAGGCAGTGGTGAATACCTGTCGTCATATTTGTTATTGACCTGGTAGTTGTCTGATCCGGCCACTTTGGATAGCTTCTCTTTCTTCACTATGGTTCTCTCAGTCAGGAGAGACATGATGCTGGACAAACCAGCTCCTGCAAATTCACCTGTGGAAACAGTGAGTTCAGAGCTGGGCCTGACCCAGCAGCCTCATTGCCCTTGGCACCATCAACAAGGATGAGCTGTGGAAGAAACTTCCCATCTTTCCTGGTCCAATGCACACCTGGAAGACTGTGGAAAGGTCCCTAGGGTCTGCTTTCCACATGTCTAACATAAAAGTCATGCGTTCTGAAGAACCACATGTATTCAAGTGTCCCTCAAGGAGTCAGCTGTTTGTTTTTTGTTTGTTTGTTTGTTTGTTTGTGTGGTTTTGGTACCAGGGATCAAACTCAGTTCCTTGCACTTTTGAGGCAGGTGGGGGAACCACTGAGCAAAATCCCTGGCCCAGGAGTCAGCTGTTGAGACAGAATGGTACAAGTCAAAGAGGAGGCAGAAGACAGTCAAGTCCTAGTCTCAGGTTCCCCTTCTAGCTCATGCCTATAAAAACAGTCACTCAACCTTCCTGCCATCAGTCTAGGACCCCCAGCAGACTAGGGTAGTATTTTGAAATCAAAAGGAAGGAACCAGTTAATCAAGATAGAGGCCTAACTGGAATCTAGGACCCTGGTGCTAGCTCTGATTTATTCACAATATGTCTTCAGCAAGTCCCTTCTCCTGGGGCCTTGTTCTTATCACAAATTAAACAAACTGGGCCAGATGATAACCAAACCTTCCAACTTTAAAATGCTAGATTTGCCTCTACAGGGCACCCTATCTTTTTGGAATGAGAGACAGTGGCAACATAACAGTGTCTAAGAGGGACCCAGCTCACAGATGTCACAAACATGTTGACATTATCCTTGATCTTCAGACAGCTGGGGATATATCACCGAATATGATTTGTTATCTGGATCATGATTTATCTATCTAAAGAAATATTTACATCTCCTGAAAAAAATAAGTATTATCTGTCTTCGTGACTTGTATCATTGCTGAGAGAAATTACCCAACATTCAAAGTTTAAAAGGGAATGGCTCACAGTTTGTAGAGGTATCAGTCCATAATCTGCCAGCTCCCAGGCAGGGTGGCATGGCAGAGGGGCATCGCAGAGGAGAAACAGCTCATAGCAGGCAGAAGTTACACAGCACCAAAGTAGCAAGCAGCAAGCTACAAGCAACAAACAACAACACTCTTTCTGTTATTTATATCTTATCCAGGCTACCTGCCTTTAGGGGCACAGCCAGGGTGGAGCAGGCTTAATCCTAACAAATTGTTTAAAGGCAGTAGCTACAACTACCAAAGTTGTAGAATCATCTTCAGAACTTTCTAGGGAAATGATTTACATATATAGGTTTCTCATGCTATGAAAATACTAAATACCCAGCATACACAGAATTTCTCAACCTGCAAACTAACATCTTGTGAAATTCTCAACCTCCCTTCTTCAAACCTTCATGTTCTTTGCTGTAATTCTTCAAACTCTGCTACCATCCTATCTTTACCCAACAAAGGAGATAATCATGACTGTCAAATTGGTTTCTCAAAATTTGACTCCAACATTAAGTTTATAGGATGCCCCATCAGTTAATCTGGAATTACTACTCTATGTTGATGGCTCTTATATCAAAAATTCTGGGCCAGGGATTTAGCTCCGTGGTTCTGGTGCCTGCCTCAAAAGCTCAAGGTCCTGAGTTCCATCCCTGGCACCAAAAAAAAAAAAAAAAAAAAACCTAAGGAAAAATATCAAATTGGGTAGGCACTTACATTCCAATGTGAATTACACAAAAGAGTTCTTCTTCAGTTTATAATTTGGTGCAATATGCAGAATCACTTGCCCTAACTCTACTATATTGCTACCAGGTGTGTTTTTGGAATAGTCCATGATTTGGGGATGGTATAGAAAAAGAGGGGATTCTTAATATCATAGCATGCCCATAAAAATGTACCTCAAGTTGCTGACCACCTCTCTGCACTGTTTTTACCCTCACAAGAGGCTGTCATAAAAAGTGATGCTCTTGTTCACAGAATAGACCAGAAATATCAAGGAAATGCCATGGTTGATTTCTGTGTAAGGGCTACCTACCACCCAAGAAATTGGTCCAATTAATAAACTATGTACCTTTCGTGAAATCCATCCAAAGGACATAAAGAAAATTCAACACACGGGGCAGAGAAGGTGAGCCAATCCCAGGGCCCAGGAGGAGGCTCCCCCACCCCCATTCCATGCTCCTAGGGCAGAGAAGGTGAGCCAATCCCTGCACCCAAGAGGAGGCTCCCCCTGCCACCATTCCACGCTCCTAGGGCAGAGAAGGTGAGCCAATCCCAGCACCCATGAGGAGGCTCCCCCGTGACCATTCCATGCTCCCAGAGCAGAGAAGGTGAGCCACGTGGATGCTAGAAGCCCCCCCTCCCTGGGGAAATGATAAGACACGTAAACAAGCCTCAAAAACAGACTTCCAGATCAACTACAGCAACCCCAAAGGGAAACAAGATGGAACAATCTGATACTCAACCACCTGGACTCCCTGAACTGGCAACAAAAGAGGATCTGGAAAAAAT